GTTTTCACACACTGTTGCTGGTATTTTGGCCCATTCCTCCATGCAGATCTCCTCTAGAGCAGTGATGTTTTGGGGCTGTCGCTGGGCAACACAGACTTTCAACTCCCTCCAAAGATTTTCTATGGGGTTGAGATCTGGAGACTGGCTAGGCCACTCCAGGACCTTGAAATGCTTCTTACGAAGCCACTCCTTTGTTGCCCGGGCGGTGTGTTTGGGATCATTGTCATGCTGAAAGACCCAGCCACGTTTCATCTTCAATGCCCTTGCTGATGGAAGGAGGTTTTCACTCAAAATCTCACGATACATGGCCCCATTCATTCTTTCCTTTACACGGATCAGTCGTCCTGGTCCCTTTGCAGAAAAACAGCCCCAAACCATGATGTTTCCACCCCCATGCTCCACAGTAGGTATGGTGTTCTTTGGATGCAACTCAGCATTCTTTGTCCTCCAAACACGACGAGTTGAGTTTTTACCAAAAAGTTATATTTTGTTTTCATCTGACCATATGACATTCTCCCAATCCTCTTCTGGATCATCCAAATGCACTCTAGCAAACTTCAGACGGGCCTGGACATGTACTGGCTTAAGCAGGAGGACACGTCTGGCACTGCAGGATTTGAGTCCCTGGCGGCGTAGTGTGTTACTGATGGTAGGCTTTGTTACTTTTGTCCCAGCTCTCTGCAGGTCATTCACTAGGTCCCCCGTGTGGTTCTGGGATTTTTGCTCACCGTTCTTGTGATCATTTTGACCCCACGGGGTGAGATCTTGCGTGGAGCCCCAGATCGAGGGAGATTATCAGTGGTCTTGTATGTCTTCCATTTCCTAATAATTGCTCCCACAGTTGATTTCTTCAAACCAAGCTGCTTACCTATTGCAGATTCAGTCTTCCCAGCCTGGTGCAGGTCTACAATTTTGTTTCTGGTGTCCTTTGACAGCTCTTTGGTCTTGGCCATAGTGGAGTTTGGAGTGTGACTGTTTGAGGTTGTGGACAGGTGTATTTTATACTGATAACAAGTTCAAACAGATGCCATTAATACAGCTAACGAGTGGAGGACAGAGGAGCCTCTTAAAGAAGAAGTTACAGGTCTGTGAGAGCCAGAAATCTTGCTTGTTTGTAGGTGACCAAATACTTATTTTCCACCATAATTTGCAAATAAATTCATTAAAAATCCTACAATGTGATTTTCTGGAAAAAAAATGCTCAATTTGTCTGTCATTGTTGACGTGTACCTATGATGAAAATTACAGGCCTCTCTCATCTTTTTAAGTGGGAGAACTTGCACAATTGGTGGCTGACTAAATACTTTTTTCCCCCACTGTATGTATTTACTGTATTATATTCTACTGTATTTTAGTCAATGCCACTCTGACATTGCTCGTCCTAATATTGATGTATTTCTTAATTACATTCTTTTACTTTTAGATTTGTGTGTATTGTTGTGAATTGTTAGATACTGCTGCACTGTTGGAGCTAGGAACACAAGCATTTCGCTACACCCGCAATAACATCTGCTAAATATGTGTATGTGATTTGATTTGATTTCTGTTGATCAGATAAGACCTTTTCAGTTTCATCAGGAGAATATCATTGTCCACAGTGTCAAAAGCTTTCTGCAAGTCTAACATGACCCTACCTGTATAGTTCCCATTCTCACTTTCCTGCTTGATGTGGTTAAAAAGGTGGATAAGACCAGTATCAGTGGAATGAGCGGTTCTAAAGCCAGATTGGAGTTAATTTTTAAAAGTTTGTGCTCGAGAAGGTATCCCTCAAGTTGATTAAAAAGTAATCTCTCAACAACTTTGAATAAGATGCTGAGGATCGATACAGGCCTGTAGTTTCCTACATCTGTTTTGCTGCTTTTCTTGTGGAGCGGAACCACCCTGGCTGTTTAGAGATCATTGGGGAATTTACCACTACTAATAGAAAGGTTATGCATTATCGTTTTAGCAGTGACACAGGCACTGTCCTTTATGAATCTTGCAGGAAGGTTATCCAACCCAGTTGCTTTGTTTGTGCTCATTAAGCATAGTAGATTTGAAACTGTTCTCTGTTACCATGCACAGCTCAAACAAGTATTTTGTGATACCTTTGCTATGGTAAAAGTTTTCAATGTAAGTGCTTGACTTGGGCAGGAGCTCACCAGAGCTGAGTACCGGCACCTTCAATTTTCTACTGCTTGAGTTCCTGTTCCTCTTATAGAATATTAGTTCAAACCTATTGTGGAGCTCCTGCACCTAAGTATGAACAGTACCGGCACCCTAAATGAGTACAGGCACCTATTTCAGTTCAAGTCAAGCACTGGATATGTCCGAAGTTCACACTCTGAAAGAGAAAATGTCCATCTCATGCACCATCCATGTTTCGATGTAGAATTGTATAATAAATCAGAAACGCTAAAGCAAGGCTTCTGCCTAGAGGCATATTTCGTAGCTCTCGACCTGCGCTCTCCTTCACACCCTGCACACTACTTTTCCCACTTTACTTGTTTTCAGAGTTCACAACCTCCCATATGTGCAAACTTCATAAAATAGCCTACCTAAACACATTTCCCTTCGCGCAAAAACAGCTGTGTCTGGTAAGGAAACTCTGAGCGGACATCCACAAATTAATACATACCATACGAAACGTAACATATCATTCTAAATAGAGTGTCTTTGATTTATGTACAGAATAAATCAAAAAGACCAGGTGGCAAGAACTCACTGTGTTGCTTGCTATGGGCAGGAGCAGGCCTTTGACATGGGCAGGAGCAGACCTGCGAGCAGAGGGTGAGAGAATGCCATGTTCCTTATTTGATATTTTTCCCATTCCCTTTAAGCCAAGGTTAGAATTGTAAACTAATAGAAAACAGAAGCGAGGAACTAATTGCGAGCACTGCTCCAGATCACTTGATATCCACCACAACTGGTAGAGAGAGCGGGACAGAGAGGGAGAGAAACCCGACTTAACTCAAACTATACTGTATATTGTACAGCAGAGAGTGTGTCTGACTCCAAACCCCCACAACTAAATATATAAGAGCATATCATGAAGGAACTGCTTACAAAACAGAGCTGGGAGCTCTCCATGCAGAATGGGCGCCATATATATATGCCATGTTTTTTTTCTCTCCCCTACCCCAATCAATTATCATGTATATCAATAATGCAACAGAAAAATCGTTTAATATTTTTTAATTGCAACACAAATTCAGTGCATCACTTTTCCTGTGGCTATGGCCTTAGTCACTATATCCTGACCACTGGTCTGGGGTTAGGGTTAATATGATGGCTTTAGGCTTGGATACATCAACTGACAATCATTGTCACTAAATACTAGATTCGATTATTTGTTGCAAAGAATTACAGGTCGAAGTTAATTCTAGTTTACAGCGGCACCACCTACTTTTCTATGGAAAGGAAGCGTTCCATGTCGCGCATGACGTAAATGGAAATTCCCCTTATCTTTTTGTTTACTCGCTGTGTTTTGATCGTACAGCCTGGTGTATCTGCGCATTCTTGTTTCCTGGTGCCGTTCACCGAGAGGTCGGGTTTTAATTTGTTTGTTTTACAAGGACTCAGGAACTTTAAACGTCATATTTATGTAAAACCGTTAGGCCTAATTCTAAAGCACAAAATGTATTTATTAAATAATTAATATGCAACTTAACTGTCGGTTTGCGGTATTACCGATAATAACCAATTTAAATTGTGCATGTGACTGTCACGAGATAGGCGTTGTTGACTTTATGAATGTCGCAGATACTCCAGCATTTACGTTGTTGTGTCTATAGTTTCGTTTCTTAAGCCCACACAACTTCAGACAGAAACTTCTACAGTAACTCAAATGTTGTTCAATTGACACTTTACTTCGTATTATTTTACCAACGTTTACTGTCGGTCTGGCACATCGCTTTATGAGTTTACGGTATTTGTGAATTTTGTACTGTATTATTTTAAATTTGCAGAAGGCAGGATCAAATTATTCCAATAGCCTATTAGAAATCTAAACTTTGAGCCACAGTGAAGGAGAGCGACTTTGGGAGAAAGAGGAATGCGTTTAGAGAATTGTTGAGTTTGTTCATAATATTATTTAAATGTATAATCTACAATTAACTTTGTAAATTAAATAAAACTATTGTTAGCTGTTGCTGTGGACGAGATTGGGTTTAGAAAGTGTTTGTCAATTCCTATTATTATTACCTACCTATAAGTCTCGCGAGGCCAACCTTCCAAATCTCGTCTCGTTGATCCATAGAGCTCGCCAGCTTGTAGTCCTAAAACCCGGAAATGAGTTACCTCTGGCTTTTTAATTTTTAATTTGACCTTTATTTAACTAGGCAAGTCAGTTAAGAACAAATTCTTATTTACAATGACGGTTTGTTCAGCCATCCCTATGGAAAAATGAATGGGGAAAGAATAGGGTTTTGGAATAATAACGTTGAAGGTTATCACAGGCGTAGGATATCTTATTTACATTTACATTTTAGTCATTTATAGGTTTGTTCTATGGGATAATTGCTGTCAGTTAACATGACCTTTATGAATTATTAAGCCTTTATATGCTTTTTTTAATTACATAAATTCTTAAAAATTCACAAAAAGTGACGTTAGCTGATGAAAAGGATCTCATAGAACAAAATGTATAAGATCTCCTAAGCCTGTGTTTACCACAGACCTTATTTTCAGCGTTTATCCAAAAACGCCATTCATTTTCCCCATAGGCTTTGTCCAATGAGCCATGGCGGAGTTAGTGCCAACAAAAAGACGCCATTACTATTTATCTCTGACATGGGCATATTAAGTTATTCTATTGGAAGTAGAATATGGAAATAAAATTAATTGACAGACCATTTCTGTCTCTCTCTCTCTTTCCATATCTGTCTGTCTGTCTGTCTGTCTGTCTGTCTGTCTGTCTGTCTGTCTTTGTCTCTCTCTCTCTCCCTCCCTCCCCACCCTCTCAGTGAGTTCTGACACATACCCCCATTCCCATGGCCTCTGCCCTGAGCCATCTCTCTCCAATGTCTGGAAGAGAGAGAGAAGGATGGAGTGATGGAGGAGGAGGAGACAACCAGGTGGAGGATGAGTTTGCATGTTCCGGGGTGCTACGCGGAGCCCTACAGTCCTTCCACGCCTCCCTGGAGAGGATATTTGGGGTGTCCTTTATGATCGGAAGAGAGGAGGATGCTGTGTTGCCACATGATGGACAGATCTGGCTTAAACTAAAAGGAGGAAGGAAGGATGTTGTGGCTGCCAAAGTAAGAAATTACTTATCGTATTATTATTATTCTGAACTCTTAGCTTTAATGTTATGGTCAATATCATGGTAACAGAATTACGCTTTAAAATGTATGCTAAACAAAAACATTTGATTTTAAAGTTGAACAAACCATACAACTGTATGCACAAGGACTACTTCGAACAATTTACACAGATATTTTCACAAAACACATTTACTGGAAGAACTGTGCAGATGCAAAGTTTGGTAACAGAATTACGGTCAAATCTCCCTCAGTTTTTTATGCAACCACGTTTTCCAAAATATTTTTTGTTATTGAACTACAGTAGGTGAAGTGGATTTACATCCGGTAACGGAATTACGGTAATGGAATCACATTATGGGTCCCTGATCTGTATTATACAGAAATGCATAATTATGGATATGAATATCATTCCCTTCATGGTGATGAATCCTGAATAGGTAAACAAAGGTAGAAATATGCAATATCCTTCTTTTGCATATTATTCTACACACTGGCTGTTATTGTAATGAGCTCCGCCCCCAAACAAGACCACATCTGGTTGGTCCGGACCAGACCAAATCTGAAACAATCATAGACGTCTATGTTTCACAACTTTGGACAGCACAGAACAGCACAGTCGAGCACAGTAGAGTGTTGTACAATACAGTAGATCACAGCACAGTAGAGTGTAGTACAATACAGTAGATCACAGCACAGTAGAGTGTAGTACAATACAGTAGATCACAGCACAGTAGAGTTCAGAACAGTACAGTAAAGTTGATATGTTCAGTACAGTATATTATACTGTACTCTACTTTAGTGTGCCCTACTGTACTGTACTGAACCCTACTGTACAGTACAGTACTGTACTTTTCTATACTTTTCTTTACTCTACTGTACTGTTCTCTACTGTGATCTACTGTACTGTACAGTGCTGTCCAAACTTGTGAAACATAGTCGTCTATGATTGGTTCAGATTTGGTCCAGTCAGTGTTGTAAATACGTGCAAATAGTTAAAGTACAAAAGTAAATAAATATGGGTTGTATTTACAATGGTGTTTGTTCTTCACTGGTTGCCCTTTTCTTGTGGCAACAGGTCAGAAATCTTGCTGCTGTGATTGCAGACTGTGGTACATCACCCAATAGATATCAGAGTTTATCAAAATTGGATTTGTGGGTCTGTGTAATCTGAGGGAAATATGTGTCTCTAATATGGTCATACATTTGGCAGGAGGTTAGGAAGTGCAGCTCAGTTTCCACCTCATTTTGTGGGCAGTGTGCACATAGCCTGTTTTCTCTTGAGAGCCAGGTCTGCCTACAGCGGCCTTTCTCAATAGCAAGGCTATGCTCACTAGTCTGTACATAGTCAAAGCTTTCCTTAATTTTGGGTCAGTCACAGTGGTCAGGTATTCTGCCACTGTGTACTCTCTGTTTAGGGCCAAATAGCATTCTAGTTTGCTTTGTTTTTTGTTAATTCTTTCCAATGTGTCAAGTAATTATCTTTTTGTTTTCTCATGATTTGGTTGGGTCTACTTGTGTTGCTTGTCCTGGGGCTCAGTGGGGTCTGTTTGTGTTTGTGAACAGAGCCCCGGGACCAGCTTACTTAGGGGACTCTTCTCCAGGTTAATCTCTCTGTAGGTGATGGCTTTGTTATGGAAGGTTTGGGAATCACTTCCTTTTACATGGTTGTAGAATTTAACAGTTATTTTCTGGTTTTTGATAATTAGCGGGTATCGGCCTAATTCTGCTCTGCATGCAATTTGGTGTTTGTCCCATTTTGTGAATTCTTGGTTGGTGAGCGGACCCCAGACCTCACAACCATGAAGGGCAATGGGTTCTATAATGGATTCAAGTATTTTTAGCCAGATCGTAATTGGTATGTCGAATTTTGTGTTCCTTTTGATGGCATAGAAGGCCCTTCTTGCCTTGTCTCTCAGATCATTCACAGCTTTGTGGAAGTTACCTGTGGCACTGATGTTTAGGCAGAGGTATGTATCGTTTTTTGTGTGCTCTAGGGCAATGGTGTCTAGATGGAATTTGTATTTGTGGTCGTGGCAACTGGACCTTTTTTGGAACACCATTATTTTTGTCTTACTGAGATTTACTCTCAGGGCCCAGGTCTGACATAATCTGTGCAGAAGATCTAGGTGCTGCTGTAGGCCCTCCTTGTTTGGGGACAGAAGCACCGGATCATCAGCAAACAGTAGACATTTGACTTCAGATTCTACTAGGGTGAGGCCAGGTGCTGCAGACCGTTCGAGTGCCCTCGCCAATTCGTTGATATATACAGTACCAGTCAAAAGTTTGGACACACCTACTCATTCAAGGGTTTTTCTTTATTTTTACTATTTTCTACAGTGTAGAATAATAGTGAAGACATCAAAACTATGAAATAACACATATGGAATCATGTAGTAACCAATAAAGTATATAATATAAATATAATATAATATAATATATAATAATATAATATATATAATATAATATGCCATTTAGCAGACGCTTTTATCCAAAGCGACTTACAGTCATGCGTGCATACATTTTTTTTTTTGTGTATGTGTTAAACAAATCAAAATATATGTTATATTTGAGATTCTTCAAATAGCCACCCTTTGCCTTGATGACAGCTTTGCACACTCTTGGCATTCTCTCAACCAGCTTCACCTGGAATGCTTTCCAACAGTCTTGAAGGAGTTCCCACATATGCTGAGCACTTGTTGGCAGCTTTTCCTTCACTCTGCCGTCCGACTCATCCCAAACCATCTCAGTTGGGTGGAGGTCGGGGGATTGTGGAGGCCAGGTCATCTAATGCAGCACTCTATCACTCTCCTTCTTGGTAAAATAGCCCTTACACAGCCTGGAGGTGTGTTGGGTCATTGTCCTGTTGAAAAACAAATGATAGTCCCACTAAGCCCAAACCAGATGGGATTGCGTATCACTGCAGAATGATGTGGTAGCCAGGCTGGTTAAGTGTGCCTTGCATTCTAAATAAATCACAGACAGTGTAACCAGCAAAGCAACCCCACACCATCACATCTCCTCCTCCATGCTTTACGGTGGGAAATACACATGCAGAGATCATCCATTCACCCACACTGCGTCTCACAAAGACATGGCGGTTGGAACCAAAAATCTCCAATTTGGACTCCAGAACAAATGACATATTTGTTTCTTTGCAGCAATTCGACCATGAAGGCCTGATTCACACAATCCCCTCTAAACAGTTTATGTTGAGATGTGTCTGTGACTTGAACTCTGTGAAGCATTTTTTTTGGCTGCAATTTCTGAGGCTGGTAACTCTAATGAACTTATCCTCTGCAGCAGAGGTAACTCTGGGTCTTCCATTCCTGTTTCGGTCCTCATGAGAGCCAGTTTCATCATAGCGCTTGATGGTTTTTGCGACTGCACTTGAGGAAACTTTAAAAGTTCTTGAAATGTTCTGTATTGACTGACCTTCATGTCTTAAAGTAATGATGGACTGTCGTTTCTCTTTGCTTATTTGAGCTGTTCTTGCCATAATATGGACATGGTCTTTTACCATATAGGGCTATCTTCTGTATACCCCAACTACCTTGTCACAACACAACTGATTGGCTCAAACGCATTAAGAAGGAAAGAAATTCCACAAATTAACTTTTAAGAAGGCACACATGTTAATTGAAATGCATTCCAGGTGACTATCTCATGAAGCTGGTTGAGATAATGCCAAGAGTGTGGAAAGCTGTCATCAAAATATATTTTGATTTGTTTAACACTTTTTTGGTTACTACATGATTCCATATGTGTTATTTCGTAGTTCTGATGTCTTCACTAATATTCTACAATGTAAAAAAAAATTAAAATAAAGAAAAACCCTTGAATGAGTAGGTAGTGGTAGTGTCTGTTGAAGAGGGTGGGGCTTAAGCTGCATACCTGTCTCACCCCACGACCCTGGGGAAAAATATGTGTGTTTTTTTTGCCAATTTTAACTGCTGTTTGTGTACATGGATTTTATAATGTCGTATGTTTTTCCCCCAGTTGTTTGTCAATTAGGGTGTGCAGGGTGAATACATGGTCTGTCAGAGGATAATTTGGTAATTTCTCCGTACATTGTTTTCACTGAGGAAATGAACGAGTCTGCTATTAATGATAGTGCAGCAGATTTTCCCAAGGTTGCTGTTGGCGCATATCCCACGGTAGTTATTGGGGTCAAATTTGTCTCCACTTTTGTGGATTGGGGTGATCAGTCCTTGGTTCCAAATATTGGGGAAGATGCCAGAGCTGAGATTGATTTGAAAGAGTTTAAGTATAGCCAGTTGGAATTTGTGGTCTGTATATTTTATCATTTATTTTAGGATACCATCAACACCACAGGCCTTTTTGGGTTGGATGGTTTGTATTTTGTCCTGTAGTTCATTCAATGTAATTAGAGAATCCAGTGGATTCTGGTACTTTAATAGTTGATTCTAAGATTTGTTTTTGATCATGTATATGGTTTTTGCTGTTTGTTCTTTGTTAGAGGGACAAAAAGATTGGAGAAGTGGTTCATCCATACATCTCTGTTTTGGATAGATAACTCTTCATGTTGTTGTTTGTTTTGTGTGTTCCAATTTTCCCAGAAGTGGTTAGATTCACTACTTTCCTTCCATCTATAGCATTTCTTAATAAACTCAGCAAAAAAAGAAACATCCCTTTTTCAGGACCCTGTCTTTCAAAGATAATTCGTAAAAATCCAAATAACTTCACAGATCTTCATTGTAAAGGGTTTAAACACTGTTTCCCATGCTTGTTCAATGAACCATAAACAATTAATGAACATGCACCTGTGGAACGGTCGTTAAGACACTAACAGCTTACAGACGGTAGGCAATTAACGTCACAGTTATGAAAACTTAGGACACTAAAGAGGCCTTTCTACTGACTCTGAAAAACATCAAAAGAAAGATGCCCAGGGTCCCTGCTCATCTGCGTGAACGTGCCTTAGGCATGCTGCAAGGAGGCATAAGGACTGCAGATGTGGCCAGGGCAATAAGTTGCAATGTCCGTACTGTGAGACGCCTAAGACAGCGCTACAGGGAGACAGGACGGACAGCTGATCGTCCTCGCAGTGGCAGACCACATGTAACAACACCTGCACAGAATCGGTACATCCAAACATCACACCTGCGGGACAGGTACAGGATGGCAACAACAACTGCCCAAGGTACATATACTGACTGTTACTTTTGATTTTGACCCCCCCTTTGTTCAGGGACACATTATTCCATTTATGTTAGTCACATGTCTGTGGAACTTGTTCAGTTTATGTCTCAGTTGTTGAATCTTGTTATGTTCATACAAATATTTACACATGTTAAGTTTGCTGAAAATAAACGCAGTTGACAGTGAGAGGACGTTTCTTTTTTTGCTGAGTTTATTATTCAGTTCCTTTGGCTTTGATGCCTCATGATTGAGTATTGCTCTGTTCAAGTAGACTGTGATTTTGCTGTGATCTGATAGGGGTGTCAGTGGGCTGACTGTGAATGCTCTGAGAGACTCTGGGTTGAGGTCAGTGATAAAGTAGTCTACAGTACTACTGCCAAGAGATGAGCTATAGGTGTACCTACCGTAGGAGTCCCCTTGAGCCTACCATTGACTACGTACATACCAAGTTTGCGACAGAGCTGCAGGAGTTGTGACCCGTTTTTGTTGGTTATGTTGTCGTAGTTGTGCCTAGGGGGGCATATGGGGGAGGTGTTTGTCCCACTATGTGCTGAGGGTGTCAGGTTCTTGTCCAGTTCTGGCATTTAGGTCGCCACAGACTAAATCAAATCAAATTTTATTGGTCACATGCGCCGAATACAACAGGTGCAGACATTACAGTGAAATGCTTACTTACAGCCCTTAACCAACAGTGCATTTATTTTAAACAAAAAAGTAAGAATAAAACATCAACAAAAAAGTGTTGAGAAAAAAAGAGCAGAAGTAAAATAAAGTGACAGTAGGGAGGCTATATATACAGTAAAATAAAGTGACAGTAGGGAGGCTATATATACAGGGGGGTACCGTTGCATAGTCAATGTGCTGGGGCACCGGCTAGTTGAGGTAGTTGAGGTAATATGTACATGTGGGTAGAGTTAAAGTGACTATGCATAAATACTTAACAGAGTAGCAGCAGCGTAAAAAGGATGGGGTGGGGGGGGCAGTGCAAATAGTCCGGGTAGCCATGATTAGCTGTTCAGGAGTCTTATGGCTTGGGGGTAGAAGCTGTTGAGAAGTCTTTTGGACCTAGACTTGGCACTCCGGTACCGCTTGCCGTGCGGTAGCAGAGAGAACAGTCTATGACTAGGGTGGCTGGAGTCTTTGACAATTTTGAGGGCCTTCCTCTGACACCGCCTGGTATAGAGGTCCTGGATGGCAGGGAGCTTTGCCCCAGTGATGTACTGGGCCGTACGCACTACCCTCTGTAGTGCCTTGCGGTCAGAGGCCAAGCAGTTGCCATACCAGGCGGTGATGCAACCAGTCAGGATGCTCTCGATGGTGCAGCTGTAGAATTTTTTGAGGATCTGAGGACCCATGCCAAATCTTTTTAGTCTCCTGAGGGGGAATAGGCTTTGTCGTGCCCTCTTCACGACTGTCTTGGTGTGTTTGGACCATGATAGTTCGTTGGTGATGTGGACACCAAGGAACTTGAAGCTCTCAACCTGTTCCACTACAGCCCCGTCGATGAGAATGGGGGCGTGCTCAGTCCTCTTTTTTTTCCTGTAGTCCACAATCATCTCCTTTGTCTTGGTCACGTTGAGGGAGAGGTTGTTGTCCTGGCACCACACGGCCAGATCTCTGACCTCCTCCCTATAGGCTGTCTCATCGTTGTCGGTGATCAGGCCTACCACTGTTGTGTCGTCGGCAAACTTAATGATGGTGTTGGAGTCGTGCCTGGCCATGCAGTCATGGGTGAACAGAGAGTACAGGAGGGGACTGAGCACGCACCCCTGAGGGGCCCCCGTGTTGAGGATCAGTGTGGCAGATGTGTTGTTACCTACCCTTACCACCTGGGGGCGGCCCGTCAGGAAGTCCAGGATCCAGTTGCAGAGGGAGGTGTTTAGTCCCAGGATCCTTAGCTTAGTGATGAGCTTAGAGGGCACTATGGTGTTGAATGCTGAGCTGTAGTCAATGAATAGCATTCTCACGTAGGTGTTCCTCTTGTCCAGGTGGGAAAGGGCAGTGTGGAGTGCGATAGAGATTGCATCATCTGTGGATCTGTTGGGGCGGTATGCAAATTGGAGTGGGTCTAGGGTTTCTGGGATTATGCTGTTGATGTGAGCCATGACCAGTCTTTCAAAGCACTTCATGGCTACAGACGTCAGTGCTACGGGTCGGTAGTCATTTAGGCAGGTTATCTTAAAGTTCTTGGGCACGGGGACTATGGTGGTCTGCTTGAAACATGTTGGTATTACAGACTCAGTCAGGGACATGTTGAAAATGTCAGTGAAGACACTTGCCAGTTGGTCAGCACATGCTCGGAGTACACGTCCTGGTAATCCGTCTGGCCCTGCGGCCTTGTGAATGTTGACCTGCTTAAAAGTCTTACTCACATCGGCTACGGAGAGCGTGATCACATAGTCGTCCGGAACAGCTGGTGCTCTCATGCATGCTTCAGTGTTACTTGCCTCGAAGCGAGCATAGAAGTGGTTTAGCTCGTCTGGTAGGCTTGTGTCACTGGGCAGCTCGCGGCTGTGCTTCCCTTTGTAGTCTGTAATAGTTTTCAAGCCCTGCCACATCCGACGAGCGTCAGAACCAGTGTAGTATGATTCAATCTTAGACCTGTATTGACTCTTTGCCTGTTTGATGGTTCGTCGGAGGTCATAGCGGGATTTCTTATAAGCGTCCGGGTTAGAGTCCCGTTCCTTGAAAGCGGCAGCTCTACCCTTTAGCTCAGTGCGGATGTTTCCTGTAATCCATGGCTTCTGGTTGGGGTATGTACGTACGGTCACTGTGGGGACGACATCATCGATGCACTTATTGATGAAGCCAGTGACTGATGTGGTGTACTCCTCAATGCTGTCTGAAGAATCCCGGAACATGTTCCAGTCTGTGCTAGCAAAACAGTCCTGTAGCTTAGCATCTGCGTCATCTGACCACTTTTTTATTAGCCGAATCACTGGTGCTTCCTGCTTCAGTTTTTGCTTATAAGCAGGAATCAGGAGGATAGAGTTATGGTCAGATTTGCCAAATGGAGGGCGAGGGAGAGCTTTGTATGCGTCTCTGTGTGTGGAGTAAAGGTGGTCTAGAGTTTTTCCCCCTCTGGTTGCACATTTAACATGCTGGTAGAAATGAGGTAGAACGGATTTAAGTTTCCCTGCATTAAAGTCCCCGGCTACTAGGAGCGCTGCATCTGGATGAGCGTTTTCCTGTTGATTAATGGCCTTGTACAACTCATTCAGTGCAATCTTAATGCCAGCATTGGTTTGTGGTGGTAAATAGACAGCTATGAAAAATATAGATGAAAACTCTCTTGGTAAATAGTGTGGTCTACAGCTTATCATAAGATACTCTACCTCAGGCGAGCAAAACCTCGAGACTTCCTTAGTATTTGATTTTGTGCACCAGCTGTTGTTTACAAATATACACAGACCGCCGCCCCTTGTCTTACCGGAGGCAGCCGTTCTATCCTGCCGATGTAGCGTATAGCCTGCTAGCTGAATGTTGTCATTGTTGTCGTTCAGCCACGACTCCGTGAAACATAAGATATTACAGTTTTTAATGTCCCGTTGGTAGGATAACCGTAATCTTAAATCGTCCATTTTATTCTCAAAAGCTTGAACGTTGGCTAATAGGATTGATGGGAGAGGCAGTTTACTCGTTCGCCGTCGGATCCTTACAAGGCACCCGGATCTGCGTCCACGATATCTCCGTCTCTTCCTCACGCGAATGACGGGGATCTGGGCCTTGTTGGGTGTCTGTAGAATATCCTTCGCGAACGCCTCGTTGAAGAAAAAGTCTTCGTCCAACGCGAGGTGAGTAATCGCTGTCCTGATATCCAGAAGCTCTCTTTGGTTATAAGAGACGATGGCAGAAACATTATGTACAAAATAAATTACAAATAACGCGGAAAAACACACATAATAGTACAATTGGTTAGAGGGCTGTAAAACGGCAGCCATCTTCTTCCGGCGCTGTTCTATCGGCTAGTACATGTCCCTGAGCCAGGAAATGATTGATTTCCCCCTCTAGGATGGAGAAGCTGTCTTCATTAAATTATGGGGATTCTAGAGGGGGGAATTGTAAAGTGTTTAAACACTGTTTCCCATGCTTGTTCAATGAACCATAAACAATTAATGAACATGCCTTGCAAAAGTATTCATCCCCCTTAGCGTTTTTCCTATTTTGTTGCATTACAACCTGTAATTTAAATGGATTTCTATTTGGATTTCATGTAATGGACATACACAAAATAGTCCATATTGGTGAAGTGAAATGAAAAAAATAACTTGTTTCAAAAAATTCTAAAAGATCAATAATGGAAAAGTGGTGCGTGCATATGTATTCACCCCCTTTGCTATGAAGCCCCTAAATAAGATCTGGTGCAACTAATTACTTTCAGAAGTCACATAATTCGTAATATTGCACACAGGTGGACATTATTTAAGTGTCACATGATATGTCACATGATCTCAGTATATATACACCTATTCTGAAAGGCCCCAGAGTCTGCAACACCACTAAGCAAGGGGCACCACCAAGCAAGCGGCACCATGAAGACCAACGAGCTCTCCAAACAGGTCAGGGACAAAGTTGTGGAGAAGTACAAATCAGGGTAGGCTTCTAAAAAAAAGATCAGAAACTTTGAACGGAGCATCATTAAATCCATTATTAAAAAATGGAAAGAATATGGCACCACAACAAACCTGCCAAGAGAGGGCCGCCCACCAAAACTAATGGACCAGGCAAGGAGGGCATTAATCAGAGAGGCAACAAAGAGACCAAAGATAACCCTGAAGGAGCTGCAAAGTTCCACAGCGGAGATTGGAGTATCTGCCCATAGGACCACTTTAAGCCGTACACTCCACAGAGCTGGGCTTTACGGAAGAGTGGCCAGAAAAAAGCCATTGCTTAAAGAAAGAAATAAGCAAACACGTTTGGTGTTCGCCAAAATGCATGTGGGAGACTCCCAACCATATGGAAGAAGGTACTCTGGTCAGATGAGACTGAAATTTAGCTTTTTGGCCATCAAGGAAAACGCTATGTCTGGCGCAAACCCAACACCTCTCATCACCCCATGTTTTTCATCGGCAGGGACTGGGAAACTTGTCAGAATTTAAGGAATGATGAATGGCGCTAAATACAGGGAAATTCTTGAGGCAAACCTGTTTCAGTCTTCCAGAGATTTGAGACTGGGACGGAGGTTCACCTTCCAGTAGGACAATGACCCTAAGCATACTGCTAAAGCAACACTCAAGTGGTTTTAGGGGAAACATTGAAATGTCTTGGAATGGCCTAGTCAAAGCCCAGACCTCAATCCAATTGAGAATCTGTGGTATGACTTAAAGATTGCTGTACACCAGCGGAACCCATCCAACTTGAAGGAGCTGGAGCAGTTTTGCCTTGAAGAATGGGCAAAAATCCCAGTGGCTAGATGTGCCAAGCTTATAGAGATATACCCCAAGAGACTTGCAGCTGTAATTGCTGCAAAATGTGGCTCTACAAAGTATTGACTTTGGGGGGGTGAATAGTTATGCACACTAAAGTTTCTGTTTTTCTGTCTTATTTCTTGTTTGTTTCACCCAAAAAATATTTTGCATCTTCAAAGTGGTAGGCATGTTGTGTAAATCAAATGATACAAACCCCCAAAAAAATCAATTTTAATTACAGGTTGTTAGGCAACAAAATAGGATAAATGACAAGGGGGGTGAATACTTTCGCAAGCCACTGTAGGTAGCACACAGGAGGACATTTTTCTATATTGAGATAATTTCCTTTAGAATTTCTAGCCAAATGTAAAATGTTCCTGTTTTGATTAATTTAATAGAGTGAGTTAGGTCTGCTCTATACCAAATTAGCATACCCCCTGAGTCCCTTCCCTGTTTCACACCTGGTAGTTTTATGGGACTACCAGCTCTCTGTAACCTAGAGGGCAACCAGTGGGTCCATCTCCTCTATACCATGTTTCTTGTAGGATGACAATGTCTATATTTCTGATTTCTTTGGTGAAGTCCAGGTTCCTGCTCTTTAGGCCAAAGGCAGATGACCTCAGGCCTTGGATATTCCAAGATGAGATGGTGAAGTCTTTGTGTTCCATAAAGTGTCCAATGTTGTTAGTGATGTGGTTTGGCCTCAGACCAGTAAGTGTGAGCAGAGCCTGCTGAGCATCTGGTACATGCTATTGGCTTGAGCTAGTGTAAGGGGGGGGGGGGGGGGGGGATCCTGCAGGTCAGGGATCCTGCAGGTCTGGGAGAGTGTCTCGCTGGTGTGGGCGGGGTGTCTGTTGATTTGATGCTCCTGTGTGAGGTGTTGGGGCTGCGGTTGAGGGCGATGTCCTTTAGGGTCCTGGCGAAGGTGGGCACTGCTGCCTTGTATAGGTGGACCAGGTCGTAAAGGCTGTTCAAGTGCAGGGTGGAGTGGTGTGCCAGGTAAACATTTGGTTTTGAGGCACAGTCACAGGAAATACTTACATTTACATTTACATTTTAGTCATTTAGCAGACGCTCTTATCCAGAGCGACTTACAGTTAGTGAGTGCATAATTTTATTTTTTCATACTGGTCCCCCGTGCACATATTCAAGTTATTCAAGTTAAGTTATTCAAGTCTTATGAACATAGAAACTTGGTTGCAGTTTCTATGATAATTTGGTAAAATCTTTAATAAATCTTTAATACTGGCATTTACCCGCTGTATGGTAGTAGGGTGAAAGTATTTTTGTGGTAGCAGGGTGGAGATAACCACTTGTGAGTTGGGGACAGTAGAATGTCACATACCTGGCGCCGACGAAGATGGCGGCCTCGCGACTAGCTCTTAAGAAACTTTGCGGTATTTTTTTTAATATATATTATTTTTTACATTATTAGCTCAGAAAGTGTTTTGTATCATTACATACAGCCGGGGAAAACTATTGGATATCAGAGCGGCGGTAGCTCACCAGCATTACGACCAGGAATAAGACTTTCCCGAAGCAGATCCTTTGTTTGCTCTCCCCAGGGCAACTGAACTGATTCCAGTGGCTGACCCAAAACATCGCCGGCGGAGGAGAGGCACTTGGAGCGGCCTGCTGGTTCGACTTAGGAGGCGTGCACACCACCCACCGCTTCCAAGTATACTACTCGCTAATGTTCAGTCTCTGGTTAACAAGGTCGACGAGCTCCGGGCAAGGATTTCTTTCCAGAGAGACATCAAGGCCTGTAACATACTTTGTTTCACGGAAACATGGCTCTCTTGGGATATTCTGTCGAAATCGGTCCAGCCAGATGGGTTCTCAGTTCATCGCGCAGACAGGAATAAATATCTCTCCGGGAAGCAGAAGGGCGGAGGTGTGTGTTTCATGAATAACGACTCATGGTGTAATTGTAGTAACATACAGGAACTCAAGTCCTTTTGTTCACCCGACCTAGAATACCTCATAATCAAATGCAGACCATATTATCTCCCAAGATAATTTTATTCGGTTATAGTCACGGCCGTGTATATCCCCCCTCAAGCCGATACCACGACGGCCCTCAAAAAACTTCACTGGACTTTATGAAAACTGGAAACCACATATTCTGAGGCGGCATTTATTGTAGCCGGGATTTTAACAAAGCAAATTTGAGGACTAAGCTGCCGAAGTTCTATCAACATATCGACTGTTGTACTCGCGCTGCTAAAATCCTCGACCATTGCTATTTGAACTTCCGGGATGGTTATAAGGCCCTCCCCTGCCCTCCTTTCAGCAAATCTGACCACGACTCCATTTTGCTCCTCCCTTCCTATAGGCAGAAATTAAAACAGGAAGTGCCCATGGTAAGGACTATTCAACACTGGTCTGACCAATCGGAATCCACGCTTCAAGATTGTTTTGATAACGCGGACTAGGATATGTTCCGGGTAGCTTGCGAAAATAATTTTGACGAATACACTGAAACGGTGACTGAGTTTATCAGGAAGTGTATAGGTGATGTTGTGCCCACTGTGACTATTAAAACCTACCCTAACCAGAAACCGTGGATAGATGGCAGCATTCGCGCAAAACTGAAAACGCGAACCACCGCATTTAACCATGGAAAGGTGACTGGGAATATGGCAGAATACAAACAGTGTAGCTACTCACTCCACAAGGCAATTAAACTGGCAAAACATCAGTATAGAGACAAAGTGGAGTCGCAATTCAACGGCTCAGACATGAGACATATGTGGCAGGGTCTACAGACAATCACGGACTACAAAAGGAAAACCAGCCACGTCGCCGACACTGTCTCGCTTCCAGACAAGCTAAACACCTTCTTCGCCCGCTTTGAGGATAACACAGTGCCACCGACGAGGCCCACTACCAAGGACTGTGGCCTCTCCTTCTCCATGGCTGACGTGAGTAAGACATTTAAGCATGTTAACCCCAGACGGCATCCCTAGCCGCATCCTCAGAGCATGCGCAGACCAGCTGGTTGGTGTGTTTACGGACATATTCAATCTCTCCCTTTCCCAGTCTGCTGTTCCCACATGCTTCAAGATGGCCACCATTGTTCCTATACCCAAGAAAGCAAAGGTAACTGAACTAAATGACTATCGCCTCGTAGCACTCACCTCTGTCATCATGAAGTGCTTTGAGAGACTAGTCAAGGATCATATCACCTCTACCTTACCTATCACCCTAGACCCACTTCAATTTTCTTACCACCCCAATAGGTCCACAGACGATGCAATCGCCATCACACTGCACACTGCACACTGCCCTATCCCATCTGGACAAGAGGAATACCTATGTAAGAATGCAGTTCATTGACTATAGCTCAGCATTCAACACCATAGTACCCTCCAAGCTCATCATTAAGCTCGAGGCCCTGGGTCTGAACCCCGCCCTGTGCAACTGAGTCCTGGACTTCCTGACGGGCCGCCCCCAGGTGGTGAAGGTAGGAAACAACATCTCCACTTCGCTGATCCTCAACACTGGGGCCCCACAAGGGTGCGTGCTCAGCCCCCCCCCCTGTACTCCCTGTTCACCCATGACTGCGTGGCCAATCACGCCTCCAACTCAATCATCAAGTTTGCAGACGACACAACAGTAGTAGGCTTGATTACCAACAATGACGAGACCACCTACAGGGAGGAGGTGAGGGCTCTGGGAGTGTGGTGCCAGGAAAATAACCTCTCACTCAACGTCAACAAAACAAAGGAGATGATCGTGGACTTCAGGAAACAGCAGAGGGTGCACCCCCCTATCCACATCGACGGGACCGCAGTGGAGAAGATGGAAAGCTTCAAGTTCCTTGGCGTACACATCACCGACAAACTTAAATGGTCCACCCACGCAGACAGTGTGGTGAAGAAGGCGCACAGAGCCTCTTCAACCTCAGGAGGCTGAAGAAATTTGGCTTGGCACCTAAAACCCTCACAAACTTTGACTGATGCACAATTGAAAGCAACCTGTCGGGCTGTATCACCGCCTGGTACGGCAACTGCACCGCCCGCAACTGCAGGGCTCTCCAGAGGGTGGTGCGGTCTGCCGAACGGATTACCGGGAGCAAACTACCCGCCCTCCAAGACACCTACAGCACCCGATGTTACAGGAAGGCCAAAAAGATAATCATGGACATCAACCACCCGAGCCACTGCCTGTTCACCCCGCTATCATCCAGAAGGCGAGGTCAGTACTGGTGCATCAAAGCTGGGACAGAGAGAATGAAAAACAGCTTCTATCTCAAGGCCATCAGACTGTTAAATAGCCATCACTAGCACATTAGAGGCTGCTGTTGCCTATTGAAATCACTGGCCACTTTAAGAAATGGAACACTAGTCACTTTAATAATGTTTACATATCTTGCACTACTCATCTCATATGTGTATATACTGTATTCTATTCTATAATATTATACTGTATCTTAGTCCATGCTGATCTGTCATTGCTTGTCCATTCCTTACTAGATTTGTGTGTATTGGGTATATGTTGTGAAATTGTTAGATATTACTTGTTAGATATTACTGCACTGTTGGAGCTAAGCACAAGCATTTCGCTACACCCGCAATAACATCTGCTAAACACGTGTATGTGACAAATACAATTTGATTTGATTAGAATAAGCTTTTTCAATCACTCCCTTGAGTGCTGTGGCCACCCTTTCCTGCTGTGCTCTCAGGTCGTTTGTGTCTGTGTGTATTATTATGTGGCAGGGTGACCCTAGTTGGTCCTCAGACAGAAGGTCTAGGGCACACTGAGTGTTTGGACACCAGAGTTTAGAGACTGTGTGTTTGGGAAAAAGTTTATTTTATTGTATATATTTCCTGTTTGAGTCCATAAGGAGTACAATCTGTGGCTTGTGGGTATGGGGGGGGGGGGTTGTCAGGAGGGCTATCAGGGGGGCTGACAAGAGGGGGTGCTCAGAGGGGGTGGGATGCCCTGGGCTTGGGGTTCTTCATTTATCTGTCCTGCTGTGATGTCGAGGCTATGGTCAGGGTCTAGGGTGGACTGTTCTGCTGTGATGTCGAGGCTATGGTCAGGGTCTAGGGTGGACTGTTCTGCTGTGGTGTCGAGGCTATGGTCAGGGTCTAGGGTGGGACTGTTCTGCTGTGGTGTCGAGATTTTGGTCAGGATCTGAGGTGGGCTGTTCTGCTGGCTTCTCTGCAGGGGTGGCCAGCTCTCTAATGGGTTGTTCTCTCTCACACGTCATCTTTCTCCCCTTCTCCTCCAGCACTCTCACCTTCTCCTCTAGTGCGCTGTTCTTCTCCTGCCCCGGGCCTTCTTCTTCCGCTCCTGCTCTTTCTCCTGTTGAAGTTGTCTCACCACAGTCCAGAGTTGAGACATGTCTCTCTCCCCCTCCAGCTCTCCGGGTGTTATGTATTTTCATAGTGTTGTGGGAACAAGGTTAAATCTATTAGAAAGGTGACTCTTGGTGCCACAGAGTCTGGATGCCAAGGATTCCAGTATGTCGAGGGAGCTTACTGGGGTTTATCTTAGAATGATTGATAGATAGAATATACTGACTTGGGTACAAGCAGATACCATCAGAGTGGGGAGTGCCAACTGATGGTTACCGGATGTTGTGGAAGCAAAATGTAACATGGACTATAAGAAGAGAGATATTTTATTTGTCCAGTGTTCGGATGACAAGAGGCAAAGCACGTGCCGTTTGTTAAACGAACCCTGTACCGTAATCAAATAAATACTTTGTATCAACTCTCCATCTGTGTCCCATATTCTCTTACATCTTGAAGTACTCGATACCAGAGAAACTCATCATAACACTGGGTCAGGATGAGGGGGTGTTGTTGTGCTGGACTGTTGTCTGGGTCTGTGCTGACTGAAATGTGTTCACCTGCTGTTCCAGCTCCACCTGCATTACCTCCAGCTGGGTGAATTGATCCTTCATTTCAGTGAGGGTGTAGTGCTCTGTGCTGGGAGGTTGACTTTCCGCTTGGGGTTGGTCGTCTATGGGGTTGTTTAATGAAGAGGTCTGGTCTGACTCCCTCGGGGTGGGGGAGTCTTTCTCAAGAGAGAGCTTCTCCTGCTGCTGTTTGGGGTTGCCCTGTACCAATACTGTTCCAGACTTGTACAGGTTGACATTGGCTGACTCAGAGTCCTCGTTGCCTAGTGTCCTGAGTTTCCACCCATCGCTAACACTCCCCCTCTTGACAGAGGGGTAGTGTGTTAATATAGCACTGCGTCATGCCAGGGGATGGTCTGTGTGGAATATTAAGTTGCTTATGTTCCCATTTCTGTACCAGTCAGCAAAAAGTGTCTCTGGATTGTCCATGAGGAGCTTATTTTTGTACTCTTTCCGTGCCTTCTCATTTTTTACATCCAAGTAATGACCTCTGCACAGAGGGAGGCCATTGAGCAGGGGTCTTCAAAGACCTCTGCATTTGGGCGGGGGAGGCTGTGAAACTCTCCTGCCATTGTTGGGCTCAAGGTCTTTGACACCTCTCACTTCACACCTCAGTGCTAATTGAAGTTGCAGCCGGATCTGTTCTGTCCTAGCAAGCTTGGTAGCCTTAACTTAGCATTCAGTCCTTATAAAGTAAAATAGTGTAATATATTTTTCTTCTTGGCTTTAAAAGTAGCTTCAGACTAAACATTACTCACTCAGTTCCAGGTTGGATAGTATTTTCAGGTTTCTGTTGTGCTTTGTTTGCTAGTTGTTAGTTTGCCAGAGGATTTGTTGTATAGTCCTTGGGAATAAGAATCTTTGGTAGTAGGAATCCTTCCAGGTAATTTTGTCCAAAATCAGGTTGTCTCTCTCCTCCAGTTGTTTGTTAAGGGAGTTGTGAATCAGGAGGCCCAGCAGGAGGTTCCGTATCCAGCAGTCCTTCACTGTGTGTTCTGTGGATCCCGGGGGCTGTTCATGGACTGCCTGATCAGAAACACCTCTGCTCAGATAATGGTAAGCATACACACACGTTCGCTCCCAGGCGCATACACGAATGCAGGCATACAGACAAGTGTATTCACACACACACACGATCAAATGGATGGATGGCTGATGAAAGAAGGAAATGCACATTAGAGGAGAGGAAGGAGGTTGTGGGTTTGAGTCTCTTTAGTCCTAGAGAGATAAGACTAAAGTTGATCTTCTCCCTTTTTTCACATTTTCCTTCCTCCAGGTGGGTTCCCCAGGCTTCCTGCTCATCTCAGGTCTGGCAGAACCAGTGGTCAGGGCCTACTCCCTGATCACAGACCTGGTGGAGCGCTACGAGAGCACCCAGGGACGACTCAGCGAGCCTGGGGACAGGGCAGCAGGCGAGACCCTGGATTCCCGTCTGGCCTTCAAGTCCCTGGTGGAGAGATGGGAGGACAGGCACACTCTGGACCTGCTAGTGCTACCGGGAGCAGTGAAGGAGACTTTACTGGATCTGGTGAGGGAACATGGGCTGGGATCTAATCCTGGTCCCGGGGGCTTGAATCCCGGTCCAGTGCTGGGCTCAAACCCCATTCCAGGGCTGGGCTTGAACCTTGGTCTTGGGGGGTCTAGAGACAAAGTGGGTCTAATGGACACTGATACCCAGAGACTATGGGACAGCAAGTTCGACTTAGAGGCACTAACACTTATGGATACCAGAATAGGGATCAGAGCTGGAGAGGCAAGGGCCATACAGGAAATACAGGGGATTTCAACGACCAAACCTTCTGAACATTCCCACCACAACCAAGACCCTGGTCTACAGAATATGGGACAGTTTTCTCAACAGACGTTCACTACCCCACCTGTAAAAGATAGAGAGGGAAGCAGGTATGGGACACGAGGAGGAATTGGGAACGAAGCAGCACCCCGAGATTCCATCTTCCACTCTTTCCCCCAAAACGAGGACATTCGTGGTCGAGCCGAGGGGTCGGAGGGGGCAGAAGCGGTACTAGGGCATTCCCCACAGGAGGTAAAGGAGGCGGGACACCCTGAAGAAGAGGAGGAGCTAGAGACAGAGGAGGGAGAAGGGAAGATTTTGTTGTCAGTAGGGAAGGAGTTTGGCCTGCTTCTGATGTTCTTCACGGCTATGGGCTATGCAGAAGACGTGGTACTGAGGGTCTTAGCCCAGACCAGACTCAGAGAAGCTTCCCAGATCCTGGATCTGGTGCAGCAAGAGCAGGACCGGACCGGACTGGCCATGAACCGCCCTGTGGAGCTAGAGCACAGAGAGGTGGAGGAGAGGGGAAGAGAGGGGGAGGAGAGCGGAGGTAGAGAAGTGAGAGGAAAGAGAACCGTTATAGATAAAAGAGTGGAGGTGGAGACGGAGATGGAGGGAGGCGTGGGAGAAGGGGTGAGGGCTAGAGAAGAGCAAAGAGAGGAGGAGGGAAGAGGGAGGGAGAGTGGAGGATTGTCTGCTGATTTGTCCAAGGATTCAACAAAGGTAGACAGGGAGAGAAGTGAGGGGGGCAAGGAGAGCGGTGAAGGGGACAGTAAGGGAGGAGAGGTGGGGAACGAGGAGGATTTTGTCCTGGGGGTGCTGATGAAGGCTGCGGCCAACTGTGGGTACACAGAGGAGAAGGTAATAAAAGTATACAGTATGTTACCTGAACTGTCCACACGTCAGCTACTCCTGGAGCTACAGAGAGAGGGCGCCAGAGAGACAGAAGCTAATTCCCAGGACAGGGTAAGTGACGAACCAAGAGTGGTGGATGAGGTTGTCTCAGATGTACGGAAAAAGAAGGGCAGAAAAGAAGAAACAGAGAAGGAGAGAGGTAAAGAGAGGGAGGCACCGGCACAACCATTCACGGCTACTGAAAACAGAGGAGTAGAAAGGAAGAGTGCCAAAGGAATGAGTGAAAGGAAGACAGATGAGGTAGGAGAAGTGAAAGTGCCAAACCAAACCGTTGATGGTCCAGTTAGGGTTGAACCGGATCTGGCTCAGTGGAACGCTGTGATGAACAAGGTTCCGTTCCCGACCCATGGTCACCAGAAGAACCCCACACAGACACGACCGCAACCCGCCCAGACACACACCCCCCATCGAGCCAGCCCCCCTTTAGTCAGAGGGCCTCCCCAGCCCACCTACCCCACCACACTACCTCCACAACCCACCAACCTTCCCTTATTTCACAATCAACTAGCCTCCGCCCTCACCGTGAATAACTCCTCAGCAACCAGAGTGAAGGAGAAACAGGGTTTCTTTACCCTAGCTGCAGAGGTTCCAGCAAGAAAGGGTCTCCCTGCCCTAAGAGAAGCGGCTGTTAAGGGATGGGGTCTCCCGACCATGGCAGCAGGGTCTTTAGTGACGGGGCAGCAGCGCTTCCTGGAAGGACTACAGACGCCCTTTGACCTCAAGCTGACTGACCAACCAGGAGACCCAGGTCTCAGGATGGTGGTCATCGACGGGAGCAATGTTGCCATGAGGTGAGAACGAGGGAAGAGAGAATGAGAACGAGAGAAGTGAGAAGACGAAAGGATTACTAATAAGATGGAAAATGTAGAAGGGCAGGCAAAATGTTGAGGTTATTCATTCATTTAGTTATTTAGTAAACGCTTTCACTGAAAGCAGTGACATACCTGTGTGGCCCCTACATTACATGAATCCACAACTGTTTTAGTTGTAATGCTATGCTCCAACTAACAGAGCTATTGTTTACATTATTCAAATAACAAGTATTCTATACAGCAGTATTTAATATGTTTTTATCTCGCTCCTTCTCTGTAGTCATGGTCTGGGTAATTTCTTCTCGTGTCGAGGAATCGCCCTGGCCGTGCAACACTTCTGGAACCGCGGCCATCGCAGAATCAGCACCTTCCTGCCCCAGTGGAGGCAGAAGAGAGATCCCCGGGTCAAAGGTAACACTTCCTGTCCGTCTGGAAACCCAGACTTTACATCCATCCAGCTCTTTCATTTCACCAGTTTTGTCAAGTCACTTCAGGAAGTTAAGTTTTTTCTATGGATTTGTTATTAATGTATTTGTCCATTAATTAATTCACTTCCTGAATTGACCCCAAGCCTGTATAGTATTATCCCTAAGGAATTTATTCATTGTGGTAAATCAAATCAAATCAAATGTTATTTGCCACATGCGCCGAATACAACAGGTCTAGACATTACAGTGAAATGTGTGTGACTGTGTGTACCGTGTTGTAAAGGAGCGGATTTTGGTCTGTGTTGTTTTCAGAGCAGCACTACCTAACTGAGCTCCAGAACCTGGGTCTGCTCTCCTACACCCCCTCCAGAGAGGTCCAGGGGAAGAGAATAAACTCATACGATGACAGGTTGGACCCTCGCATCTGTCATACTATAGATCTGCTTGTAAACAGCTTAAAATCTTTATATTAATAGCTGCTTATAAACTGCTTATAAACTGCTTATTAATGGCTTCTAAATTTACATGAAAAGTATTTTTATGAACTCCCTTTAAACTGCTTATAAACAGCTTTGTTACAGTTTAAGTTATATATGTACAGTATAAGGCTTGTTCATGCTTAATAGGGAATATTCTATAAATGGATGAAGTGACGTCCCTATTGCACTCCTCCCTCGTCCTTGTTCTCTGCAGGTTCATGCTGCAGCTGGCCCAGAAGACGGATGGTGTGATCGTGACAAATGACAACCTTAGAGACCTGCTGGATGAGTCCCATGTATGGAGAGACATCATCAAGAAAAGGTAGAGAAAGAGAAAGAAAGGAATGGAGGAGAGGAAACAGATTTTTCTGTCAATAAGTTGACTGTATGTTAGCAATTGTCTAATGAAATCAGAAACATTTTTATAAATAGATTTAGGATAGATTTGTGCATTGCACAGGACAGCAACAATACAATTTTAATTCCCCTTTAGTGGATTTGACCACTAAAGTCAACCTTGAGTATGAACCAACACCCCTTTGATTTCAAAGCGATATATTGGGCTCTATCTCTATAACAACAGACCCCATTTACATCATGTATTAAAAATGCAAACTGTATGCGCATTTGTATTCGCATAACAAGAAATGCATCTTAATGCTACATCGTGATTGGAATGTAAGCAGATTTGCTCAGTGTAAATGCAATTAGTCCAACCTGACCACATTCAGTGGGCAACATCATCAGTGCTCCGTCTAAAATACAGTGTTATTCAAACTCCACCTCAGTGTTCCACCTATTGAATGTAAAAAGAAAAAGAGCAAGGACAGAACGGACAATTGCAAAAAAATTAAAATGTGGTGTCAGCATTTAACCCCCTGCTTTACTCAAATGTATCAACGGCGGATCATTATTTAGGACAGGTGGCATATCATTTTTGTTTAAAGTTTTCAATTTCGTCTTCATCGTCACTATCGCACTATAACCGTCTCTCTCTCCCCTTCAGACTTTCCCCATCAAGTTTCATACATTGTGTCTTTGCATTAAGCTATAGGCAAATGTATTTCTGATGTTTTGCTATAGGTAGGTATTTTTGAAACAGTAGGCGTAGGCCTACAAATAGACTAGGCCTACTCAGTGGCAATTTTAGCATGGCAATCTTGGTGGGGCAAACTCCCCCAAATTTTTTTTTTAATGCATGCCAGCAAAGCAACTACACTACACAACACTAACAATACATTAATTGCACTATAGTGGTGACAAACGGTGCCCACAAACTGTTAGGGCCTACATAAAGCTGTCCCAACAGCAGAGCTTTCTTTTCAGCACCATGGAGTGAATCCTTACCACCACTACACCTGGCTATCAGCGGAGCCTTGTCTGGCAGCAAAACAGTTAATTCAGCCTCCTTTACTGCCTTTAAAAAAATCATAGCTGATATGTATGACTTCCTTAGACAAATGTGGTTTCTACTGACAATTGAGGTGTACAAACTATGGCATAAGGGAACGATGAGCAGATAAGAGGCAATCCGTAATTTCAATGAAGACATTAATGAGCGAGCTAAGACGGACGTATTCAATATAAATATTTGTTCAGCAGTTTTGAAATGTACAGCGACAGAATTCAGAACATGGGCCGTTCTTACAGTGTTCTCCCTGTACACCAAGTCAGAACCATGGGATAAATAAATGGGGCATATAAGCAGACAATGAAAGCTCTTACAATATTTGATGATTACATTTCTCTAAAACAGGCTATAGGCTACATGACATCAAGTCAGAACAGTAGGCTAAATTATGAGGGGGAAAGGGACCAAATTATTAGGGTGAGGCACATGGGCTAATAACAGCTTACTACACAACATACACTTAGTATTACTTTCTTAGCTACAGTATACATATCTCCCTGGCATATTACATAATTTATGCAGCAGCATACAAGCGATTTTTGGACTTTGTTGTGCTGTGCTCACTTCAACAGGAAGGTGGCGCGGCAGTCCTACTTGTGGGCAAATTTTGTCATCAAACTTTGTCTTCAGTCTGGCATTCTCTGGATTTATGGTGCTTTCAAGACAACTGGGAACTCTGAAAAAAACACGGTCGAATCATGACGTCAGTGATCTTCAGGTTGGAGCTCTAGAAAGAGGCCCGAATTCCCGACTTGGAATTCCGAATTGGATGACCACTCAAAGCGGATTTTCCCAGTCGGAACCCGTTCTTTTCAGAGTTCCCAGTTGTCTTGAACTCACTGAAGTCTAGATTTCCCAATTACGAGTTTCCAGTTGTTTTAAATGCGGCAGAAGTCATGCTGGATTGACAGCATGGCCAACGTATCCAACCTTTTCTGGCCCATGGTGTTGCATGTGAATGTTTATCCTTTTAAGCTCGTAAAATAGACTATTAAACCCAGACTTGGACCAAACACCCTCTCCACTGAATAGCAGGCTAGTGGTTGCTTTGCAACACTTGCAGTTAGCCACCGATTCCTTCCAAACCACTCATTGTTGATTTTGCGATTTCCAACTTGTTGTGTAATGTTTATGTCCAATGGCCGATGAGCACCAATACGTTTTATCTATAATTTCTCTTCATATGACAAGGATTGAAAAGGATTTGCCAGTAGATTGTCGACTTGATTCATGATGATGTCTGCATGTCTAGCTTGCTAGCTAAGATTTTGAAAGTATAATGTTGACATGATCAGTCCAATCAAAGCTACGGTAGATATAACATGATTTGACGTCATTTTATCTGTGGCCAATGACCTTGAGCCTTCTTGGATGGGCACTTCTAATGTAAATCTATGGGCAGCACCCAAGGGGCTTGAATTTTCAAGCTCTCTCTGTAGATTGTGCGGTGATGTAGTGTCCCCATGAGTGACAGAACCCTTAGCCAATCACGGCACAACTAGAGAACATTACTAACCCCTACGCTCTGTATTTTCCGTTGGCTGACCCACCACCACAGAAAGCACTGAGCTAGGCTGAAACACCTGCATCCAGCCTGCACTTCCAGACCCTGACAAACCTCAGATATTGATTAGGCCTAGGTTTTTAGGGACAATGCAATTATCCTACCTATTCTACCTACAACAACACAAAGCAATCAATATTAAAATCTTCAACTTATGTTGTGATAATTGCGTTGTTTGCTCTATAACCTGTTCCAATGAGCACATTCACACTCATCACAATATGCAATAAACCTGTGCAGAATAAATGGCCACAGTTTAGTCCAGAATAGGTCAATAGTTATTGCAATATATCAGCAAATATCGGCACGTTCATTCCGAAATGAAAGTGCCGATGGCGCAGTGGTCTAAGGCACTGCATCACAGTGCTAACTGTGCCACTAGAGATCCTGGTTCGAATCCAGGCTCTGTCGCAGCCGGCCGCGACCGGGAGACTCATGGGCGGCGCACAATTGGCCCAGCGTCGTCCAGGGTAGGGGAGGGAATGGCCGGCAGGGATGTAGCTCAGTTGATAGAGCATGGCGTTTGCAATGCCAGGGTTGTGGGTTCGATTCCCACGGGGGGCCAGTATAAAAAAATATGTATTCACTAACTGTAAGTCGCTCTGGATAAGAGCGTCTGCTAAATGACTAAAATGTAAATGTTAAGATGACGGTCAAAGGGAGGATTGAAAATGGAAAGCAGTTAACGTGAAAAAGTTGAATAGCACTCCATTGATATGATGACGTAATGTAGCCTACACTTAATTTTTATACAAACCTTGATCCAATTGTTAGCAATGCTCTCTGTGAAACCCTACCTTTTGAGTATAGCCTATCTTACAGAATATAGGAACACCAGAAAAATGTGTAGATACAGTGCTAAACTTGAAAAACGTGTGGTTCTCACGGTGAAGTGAAATGATACTATTTATCGACTTGCTCACCAGTGTGCTCTGAAGAAGAAACAGCGAAACAATGTAGCCTAACAACATTGCTCACAAACAGCACAGATTTGATTTTATGATAGAAGCGCTGGTCCTCTTAAATTGTAATTCCAGGTTGCACATCAAATTATTTAAGGGCATATTCAATGGTCTGCTGTGGCCATACAGTCATGTCAAGCATAGGGTTGTCTTGGAAGATGGAAATAGGAATATAATATACCTGTGAAAAAACATTGAAATACCACCCCAATACAATGATGTAGGCCAGTGGTCACCAACCAGTCGATCGCATTCCAAGTCAAGGCATTCCTAGTCGATCGCCAAACATTTCTGTAAAAAAAGAACAACGATAAAGCCGTATTTTTTTTTATCGTCTCGCGCTGTTGGCAGTGGGTGCACCCGATTCAGCTGCCCTGTGCGCTGGGTGGCCAAGTGTTCCCATTTTGAACCATTTCATGTGTCTGAAGTAGAAACTCTGCTTCCCGGCGGGCCCGGAGAGCAAATCAAGTACACTATCCGCTGGCCAATTGGAAGGCTCAGATTACTGTGTCTGCAGTAACGTAGCAGGTGTAAAAAAATATATACAGCTAAATTGAAACTGAGATTTCTAAACGTTTAAAACCATTAATACAGCAAAGACCTTCTTTTTTATATGAGTGAGTTCATGTTTATATTTTTACTCAGTCAGTTCTGTCAACACTTTTTATTCAACTTTCATAAGCCACAAAATGTGTGTTCTACTCGCGCTACAACCAGAACTGCAGCACTAATGAATGAGTAGGAAAGTGTATCTATAGGCTTGCGTTGTTGTTATTATTAGTGGCTTGGGCCTTTTTTAATATCGAGGAATATTTAACTTTCTCTGTTCATAGGAGTAACAACATGAATTTGTGCATTAGGCAGAAATAATGCGGTGCAACTCGAGTTTCGCCATCAGCTGGAAGACGGTGTCCCTTTTTGGTCAGTGGCAGTCGAGGAAAGGGAGAGCGGAGGGATGTTGAGAGGCGGACCCTCAGTCTGCTGCTCTCTCCCTCCGCTGAGACTGACCATCAGATGCAGGCCCAGTAAAATAGCCCAGTAAAATAAAAATAAAAAGCAAATTATTTAAATGTATGCTCACTCAGCTGTGCCTCACAAGTAATACAACAACTGATCTATTACCGGTGTGATCATATGGCCTACCTAATATATTTTTAAATGGCCCGAACAGCAATGCATTGGCAGGGCAATTGAATTAAAGCCAATATGAGGTGATAATGTATTGGGCTTATAGCCTACTGCACAAACCTCATTGCTGTTTTTAATAGGTTCATGTTGCATAGGCTTACGTTTTTTAAGTAATGTAAAAAATCTGAGCGGTAGATCTCGGCTTGCATTTTGATTTAGAAAGTGATCTTGACTCATAAAACGTTGGTTACCACTGATGTAGGCCTATAGGCTATACACTGTATATAACTGAATTGTGACCACAAACTATCTGCATAAATTGGAGGGAAAAGTTAGATCCGAACACAATGGAGACACAATGGGGCCAGAGTGCACATATTTTATTAACAAGGTGTAATTGCAAGTAAATGCAAGGCCCGTGTTCAGCATGTCATCCTAATACAAGCTGTAAATTAGGTCTCAGTGTCATACTGATTGTGTATTACCCAGACTCCTCCAGTACACGTTTGTAGGTGATCACTTCATGGTGCCTGATGACCCGCTGGGCCGAGAAGGACCCCATCTAGATGACTTCCTACGCTCACTGCACAGGTAACACACACACACTTCCTCTTACTCTCTGTCTAGATTTATCCCACATAAACAAATACACATTCCTCATACTCTCTCTCTCCCTCCCTCCCCCATCTCTCTCTCTCTCTCTCTCTCTCTCTCTCTCTCTCTCTCTCTCTCTCTCTCTCTCTCTCTCTCTCCTCTCTCTCCTCTCTCTCTCTCTCTCTCTCTCAGGACTCCTGACCCAGGCAGTCACACGTTTGCGGGTATTGCCTCCTCCCCCTTCCCCCGAGCTCCCAGGGCCCAGACAGAGGTCCTGATGTTCCGGGACAGAACACCAGGTGTCGCTGTGGAGCCATATTCCAGCCAGGCCCGGGGCAGAGGGAAAAGGAAGGGGCAGGCTAAGGCTGGACACGGTAGCCCCGGAATGGACCTTGTTCCGGGGATGGGCCTTGGCCTGGATGTGGAGAGGAGCGCAGCAGAGACCTCCAGGCTTAGGGAGAGCCTATCCCAGGTGTTCCCAGGACAGGATAGCATTGTTACTCTGGTGCTGCAGTGTAACCCTACAGTGACTGACATCAATTCACTGTCACACATTATGCTGCAGCAACAGATGGAGATTGAGCGGGGGGTGTAGACTGAGTGATGGGGGGGGGGGGGGACGCTTGTGTGTGTGTGTGTGTGTTTTGTGTGTGTGTGTGTGCGCGTGTGGTATTCCAGAAAAAGACCAATAACTTTCACTTTCTTTCTTGCTTTCTATTCAGTCTAGTCCATAGTGTGTATATTGATGTATTAATGTATATTATTTAAATGTTTGAATGATAGGTTTAGTTAAAAGTCAGACAGATCTTCAAATGATGTTTCTAAATTGATTTTTATCCAATTAATGTTGAAAACAGGTCTTAATACTGCAAAGCAATTTTTAAAACATATTCCGTACCCTTAATTTAAAAAAGTTTATTGTAACACTTCTGGCCACTGTTAGATTTTGTGTTAGGGATGAGTAGTGTTGCTGAATTCAATGTACAATGTTATCTATTAAACATGACATTACAGCATAATAATATTATGTTGATGATGCTCAACTTCTAATTAACAATTTCAAATTCAGAATTGTCATACTTCAATAGTATAACTTTATTAATGTTATTACATTAACAGCAGTTTAAAGAGTAAGACAATTATTTGTTTGTTTATATACTGTATATTCATACTATAAATGCAGTTTGAAATAGGAATAATATTATTGTAAGAAGAGTTAGAAAATGCATTATAAACCATAATAAATAAATAAATAAGAATTAACAAATTGAACAATAATTAATTGGTAATACTGAAAAAATATAATAATCAATCGATCAATCATATCCCATTAATCAATCAATTAATTACCAATTACACATGTTCTCCTTGCGGGGACTGTTACATTGAATGTAACCCACAGAATGTAAATTCAAACACACATTTGTCATGTTAAGACAGTTGTTTACACTTATAAACTGAGAAATAACAAGAAAAGGAAATACATTGAATCAATAACATGGAAGGTGTCCCGCAGAGGTCGATTCTGGGTCCTGTACTTTTTACTGTTTACATTAACAATATTGACTTGGTAAAATGGTAACCTGCACTTGTATGCCGATAATACTGTTGTTTATGCTATTGCCCCCACGGGTGACCAAGCTCTGTCTGAACTACAGTCTACCTTCATTGTATTACAGAAAAACTTTATTGACCTGAAATTAGTATTGAATGCAGGTAAAGCTAAGTATATGTAGTTCTCTAGAGCCCATAAAAATAACTCTGATGATTTAAGCATATGTACTTTGGATGGTGTCCATATTGATCGTGTCCCTGCTTACAAATATCTGGGCATCTGGATACAGTGCCTTGCAAAAGTATTCATCCCCCTTAGCGTTTTTCCTATTTTGTTGCATTACAACCTGTAATTTAAATGGATTTTTATTTGGATTTCATGTAATGGTCATAAACGAAATAGTCCAAATTGGTGAAGTGAAATTAAAATAAGTAACTTGTTTCAAAAAATTCTAAGAAATAAATAACAGAGTCGTGGTGCGTGCATATGTATTCACCCCCTTTGCTATGAAGACCCTAAATAAGATCTGGTGCAACCAATTACCTTCAGAAGTCACATAATTAGTTAAATAAAGTCCACCTGTGTGCAATCTAAGTGTCACATGATCTGTCACATGATCTCAGTATATATACACCTGTTCTGAAAGGCCCCAGATTCTGCAACACCACTAAGCAAGGGGCACCACCAAGCAAGCGGCACCATGAAGACCAAGGAACTCTCCAAACAGGTCAGGGACAAAGTTGTGGAGAAGTACGGGGGGGCAGTATGAAAAAAAGAATAATAATAATAATAATTAAAAAATACAAAAAACAAATACAAAAAAAAAAAAGAATAATGTAAGTCGCTCTGGATAAGAGCGTCTGCTAAATGACGTAAATGTAAATGTAAATGTAAATGTAAAGTACAGATCAGGGTTGGGTTATAAAAAAATATCAGAAACTTTGAACATCCCACGGAGCACCATTAAATACATTATTAAAAAAATTGAAAGAATGTGGCACCACAACAAACCTGACAAGAGAGGGCTGCCCACCAAAACTCACGGACCAGGTAAGGAGGGCATTAATCAGAGAGGCAACAAAAAGACCAAAGATAACCCTGAAGGAGCTGCAAAGCTCCACAGCGGAGATTGGAGTATCTGTCCATAGGACCACTTTAAGCCCTACACTCCACAGAGCTGGGCTTTACGGAAGAGTGGCCAGAAAAAAGCCATTGCTTAAAGAAAAAAATAAGCAAACACGTTTGGTGTTCGCCAAAAGGCATGTGGGAGACTCCCCAAACATATGGAAGAAGGTACTCTGGTCAGATGAGACTAAAATTTAGCTTTTTGTCCATCAAGGAAAATGCAATGTCTGAACACCATCCCCACAGTGAAGCATGGTGGTGGCAGCATCATGCTGTGGGGATGTTTTTCATCGGCAGGGACTGGGAAACTGGTCAGAATTGAAGGAATGATGGATGGCGCTAAATACAGGGAAATTCTTGAGGTAAACCTGTTTCAGTCTTCCAGAGATTTGAGACTTGGACGGAGGTTCACCTTCCAGCAGGACAATGACCCTAAGCATACTGCTAAAGCAACACTCAAGTGGTTTAAGGGGAAACATTTAAATGTCTTGGAATGGCCTAGTCAAAGCCCAGACCTCAATCCAATTGAGAATCTGTGGTATGACTTGAAGATTGCTGTACACCAGCGGAACCCATCCAACTTGAAGGAGCTGGAGCAGTTTTGCCTTGAAGAATGGGCTAAAATCCCAGTGGCTAGATGTGCCAAGCTTATAGAGACATACCCCAAGAGACTTGCAGCTGTAATTTCTGGAAAAGGTGGCTCTACAAAGTACTGACTTTGGGGGGGGGGGGGGGTGAATAGTTATGCACGCTCAAGTTCTGTTTTTTTGTGTTATTTGTTGTTTGTTTCAAAAGAAAAAATATTTTGCATCTTCAAAGTGGTAGGCATGTTGTGTAAATCAAATGATACAAACCCCAAAAATTCCATTTTAATTCCAGGTTGTAAGACAACAAAATAGGAAAAATGCCAAGGGGTGTGAATACTTTCGCCAAGCCACTGTAGATGAAAAGCTGTCTTTTAAAAAGCATATTGATGAGTTAGTTAAGAAGCTGAGAGTAAAAATTGGCTTCTTCTATAGAAATAGGTCCTGCCTCTCGCTAAATAGTAGAAAGCAGATTATTCAGTCGACGTTCCTATCAGTCCTAGACTATGGCGACAACATGAACGCAGCTGCTACTTCATTAAAGCCGTTAGATGTAGTTTATCATAGCGAACTGCGCTTTATTACGGGCAAGAATTTTAGCACTCATCACTGTATTCTCTACCAGAAAGTTGGTTGGCCCTCTTTGATGTCACGTAGGTTGATACATTGCTATGTTTTCATTTATAAAGCTCTTTTACAAAAAGTCCCACTTTACCTAACATCTTTACCAAACTTTAGACTGCAGACATATTTACCACACCTGGTCTTACGGATAGTTAACTCTGGAAATTCCTTTGGTCTCTACTGAGTTAGGTAAATCAGCTTTTAGTTTTCTTGCACCTTATTTGAGGAATGATCTTCAGAATGTTCTTATATTTGTTGTTTTGGTGCCTCTATGGCAATTCAGAACGCTGATTGAGGACCTTACTATTGATGAATGTGTTATTTTTTTATGACTGTATTTTCTTTCATTCTGCTTGCATTTTCTATTTATATTGATGTGTGTATTTTTTGTAATTTATGTAATTCAGGGCTCATCTGTAAAATATACCTTGGTCTCAGTATTGCGCCCTGATAAAATAAAGGTTAAATAAATAAATAAATGGTGAAACATTGACATTTCTTGGAATTATTGTTGGGCCAATTCATAACCAACACAATTTGACATAATGTATCAGTAGTAATAATATTTAACTATTGTTGGCTAGAAATGATAAAGAATAGGACATAAAGGATATCATGTTTTTTTTATATAATAATTGGGGCAAACTAAGTGGACGTGACTGACGTGCAAGCCAATATTTAATTTCCGAATTGATTTAAATTAGGTTAGGGTTAGGGTTAAGGATTTGGTTAAGGTTATGGTTATGGTAAGGTCAGTTTTAGGTTTTGGCTAGTTGGGATGTTTGTCAGAAAAGTCCACAATAGCCTCTCCTGTAACAGTATTTACAGTCCCAACTTCATACTCAGTTCACCTTCTCCTCCTTTCTTCTTGCTCTTTTCTTCCTTGTGGAAGATCTTTCCATCAGGCTGCTCCTTTCATCTGAGTTCGACATCAGACATCCACTTATAAAAACCAAAAACAGAAAAAGCTTATTTACATAAATATTCAGACCTTTTGCTATGAGACTGGAAATGTAGCTCAGGTGCATCCTGTTTCCATTGACCATCCTTGAGATGTTTCTACAACTTGATTGGAGTCCACTTGTGGGAAATTCAATTGATTGGACATGATTTGGAAAGGCACACACCTGTCTATATAAGGTCCCACAGTTGACAGTGCATGTCAGAGCAAAAACCAAGCAAAGAGGTCAAAGGAATTGTCTGTAGAGCTCTGAGACAGGATTGTGTCGAGGCACAGATCTGGGGAAGGGTAACAAAACATTTCTGCAGCGTTGAAGTTCTCCAAGAACACAGTGGCCTCCATCATTCTTAAATGGAAGAAGTTTGGAACCACCAAGACTCTTCCTAGAGCTGGCCGCCCGGCCAAACTGAGCAATCGGGGGAGAAGGGCCTTGGTCAGGGAGGTGACCAAGAACACGATGGTCACTCTGACAGAGCTCCAGAGGTCCTCTGTAGAGATAGGAGAACCTTCCAGAAGGACAACCATCTTTGCAGCACTCCACCAATCAGGCCTTTATGGTAGAGTGGCCAGGCGGAAGCCACTCCTCAGTAAAAGGCACATGACAGTTCGCTTGGCACCTAAAGGACTCTCAGACCATGAGAAACAAGATTCTCTTGTCTGATGAAACCAAGATTGAACTCATTGGCCTGAATGCCAAGCGTCACGTATTGAGGAAACCTGGCACCATCCCTACGGTGAAGCAAGGT